GATAATTTATAAAATATTGTAATTAAGGTGTGAATTAAGTTTATTTTGTGTTGAATTTAATAGTAACTTGGATGAGAGAGAGAGCTCGTGGTTTGGGCGAGACTCAAATACTTGATATTTCTAATTAGGTTTCGATGCCAAAATTCGTAGGATCAACGAATATCGTCCCAGGCCGTACAAAGAACGTGTCCAAAAGGCGCAGAGAAATACCCCCGAAATGAAAGAGAAAGAGAAAAAATCGTAATCGACGACAAAATGAAATTACAATAACAAAAAACATAATAAAAAATAAACGTAAATCAAAACGTCTGGGAGTAAAAAACAGGATCATTAAGACATATGTATCGACGAATGTGCTAAAAACAAGGTGTTCCATAAAACAAAAACAAAGAAAGAAACAAAAGAGGAGTAATTAAAGCTACTTGGTCAAAAACACACGCGTGTGTTCGAAATAAAAAAAATAAAACTTATATATTTTGTATAAAGTTTTTAGTCGATTCAGTGCACAAACTCAAAGAGAACTACGTGAGATCAAATCAAAATAAGTCTTCTACGTTCGTTAGATGTGTGTGTGTGTATGTTTTAATGTTATAATTAGTGCTAGTTAATCTTCGCTTTTGGATTAGAGCAGGCGGTGATTGTAAAAAATCAATAATAAAAAAAACAACGTGAATTAAATAAACTAAAGGGTGTTTTTGTAGTTTGTGTGTATGTGCGCAGGCGGCTGTGGCTCAAAAAGTTTGTAGGAAAAAAAAAAAATGTGAAAATTAGGTCGTTTTTGTTTTGTTTTTAATTGCAGGATCCAACGAATTACGGTTCGGAAAAAAAAAGATAAAAAAAAACAATCGCGTTAAGAACAAAAGTTGTGCCGAGAATAGATCCTGCACAATATGCCAAGTCTCGGTGGCATCTCTGGCAGCGACGACCATAATTCGTTAGAGATTATAAAAATAATAAATAAATATTCTTTTCTCGTTCTCGGATCCGTTGAAAATAAGAAAACAACACATGTAGTAGTCTGCACGTAAAGTATTTATTTTTTTTTTTTAAATAAATTAATACCTCTTTCCGTGCTCCCTCTTGTACTCGCCGCAGTACTTGGATCTAGTTCCTACAAGGTCTATAATCTCTGGAATGCTACTAGCAAATATCGCCTGCGAACAAGTCCTAAATGCTATTACTAAAGAAAACAAAATAGAAAAACAAAAGAAAACTCGTGTCGTCGGCTTCTCGAGTAATTCGTGTGCGTTCTGTGTGCTTTCATTTTAATATGTATAGTGTAGATATGCTGCAAGTGTGGATTAGTATTCTTCGCGTCTGAAGTACAATCAAAGATGTAAATTCCCTCGTGTCTCGTGTTGTCCTATTCATTTTACTTCTTTTATATAAAAAAATCAACAATATTAACAAAAAAAAAAAGATAACCAAATAATAAAACATCATATTGATCTTTACGTAAGCGCAAGCACGAAGCGGCTACACACACAGTATAATATATATTAAATTATAGAGAAGATTTCAAAGCTCATGCAAAGAAATTTTTCATAAAAAAATAATAATAATGGAAATAATAATTGAAGCACACTCAAAGTATATAGTACACATAACATAAACACAATGCCTAAATATCCCATCGGGTAGTTCTTGGATTCTCGGGATTCTTGGGTTGTAGTATTCAGAATTAGATTTAGATAATAGAGAGAGAGAGAGAGACGTAGAGAAAGAATAAAAGGATAGGTGTTTTTTTTTCTTCTTCATCATATACAGATTTTGTTTTTTTTTTTAAATTTCGGAACAGTCGCAAATCTGGAAGTCTTGATTTTCTTCAGCAAAAGATACCCATTTTTTGTTTCGAATTATAAACATTAATTGTTTTTGAAAAAACAAAAAAATTGTAATTAATTAACAGAAAGTGTAAGAGAAAAAAAAATTAGGAGAATAAACAAAACGATACTGACGTAATTTAATTTTTTTTTTATATAATCTTTTTTTGCTTGTTTTTGAAGCGTTTTTTTTTGAGAAGCACACGAGCGGCCGCTATTAAGTCGTAGTTTATGTAACAGAGATAGCCAGAATGGGAGGTCGAAAATCATAATGAAAAGATTTGTTTCTTTTGCTTATTTTTGCAAAAAAAATAAAATTATATATATATAGAAAAATAAATAAGGAAACAAATTAAATATTTCGATAATTAATTAAGTAATTAATTAATTAATAATAGTAGTATAGAGAGAGATAGTTTTAGGTAAATAATAATAAGTGTAAATGAAACGAACTTACCAAGCCGACGAGCAGGAAGAACACCAAGAATGTGCGGCCGAGGACCGTGTGGCAGTAGACGTCGCCGTATCCGACCGTGGACATCGTCACGATGAGGAAGTAGACGCACGTCCAGTAGGGTAGTGGGTGTGGGTTTTCGAAGTCTAAAGGATCTCCGGAGTTTTCCAGCTGTGCGATCAGTTGGTTCGAGATTAGCAGACGATCAAGGGGAGACGTTTACGAGGAAGGACTTACTAAATGAATTATGCCGGCTGCTGTTAACCACACCGAGATGAAGATGGACACTAACTGAGCAAGACGTATAGAGCTGGAAGTTTTCAGTATGTTCAGATACTGAAGTATATCCGGCACGGTCATCAGACGTAGGGCACGAAGGAAACGGAGACCTGAAAACCAAACATTTCTTACAACATAATTCTTAAGCTTAAAGAAAAAAATAACGGTTTTAGTGATCTTCTCTGAAACTATAGTATAGGATTTACCAAAGTATGAAAACTTGGAATGAAATATTTACTTGTTATTAATGATTTTTCTCATTTTTACCCTAGAAAATAAACAAAGTGGTTCGTGAAAATTTCAGGATTTACAAAAAGTTGTTGAAAGTTCAAATATTTCAATAAACTAATTTTTTTTTGTTATTTTCATGCAATTAGTAAATTCGTTGTTATTTTTTGTTTCAGCATTTCATAATGGAAAACGTGCAACGTTTCACACGACGAATGGGCTCAGAGCAACGAAATTGATTATATTTTGGAGAGCAAAAAAACAACAAAAGTTACCCAATTAAACGTTACGCAAAATGTTGAATATTTAATTAGCGCTTTTGCGAGAAATTCACGGGTCAGTTCCCGCTGGTCCCATACAAAAAACATTGCTTTGAATTCGTCCAATTAAAACTGAGAACGAGTGTAGAAAAATATGCAAAATATACAAAAAAAATATTCAGAATAAAATGTTTTGTAAATTGAAAGTTTTAAAATAAATGTTGTAAGGATTTCAAGAAAATATTGGAGCGAGAAATGGAGAATCCCAGTGAATCTTCGACAATGCGCTAAAAATAAAAATCTAGTCTAGTCCATTGAGGGTCAGAAAAGGATTTGCTGTTTGCTCGTGAGCTCCACTTTACAATTTAATAAGAACTAATAAGATACAATCATTTCTATTTTCTTCAATCGAGAAATCGTAATAAGCGAAGCTTGAATATCGTATTTCAAAGTCGTTTCTATAGAGGCAATCTTCAGTATAAATATTTCCAAAGATTTTTGTTTTAATATAATACAATTTGTGAGTTATTACAAAGAAAATTATAGATTATCAAAACCTTTTGAAAATTTTGTAATTATTGTTTAAATTATATTTTTTACTGATCAAAGTTTTAATTCAGCAAGACAAAAAATATTGTTTTCCATTCAAGTTTCAAACAGTGCGGGTTATTGATAGAATCTTACTATACTAGGTAGTCCTATACATTATTTTATCAAGTTTAACTTAATTAGTCAATGAATTTTCTTCAAACAAATAAAAATAGAAAAAATACGTTAGTGAGAAGGAGGAAGCTGTTAAATGTTTATTGATGGGTTGGTATATATTTGCATATTTCGCTCGACTCGCATCAAATGAGAACAATAAGAATTAGCGTTTAATGAAAGTCAATCCATTAGCTGGGCAAACAGACGTCGGAGGGAGCAAATCGATACGGAACGGAGCCGTCCGTTACGCAACCGTCGATGTCCGACTCGAGTTTCGCCCATATATACAATTTTTTTGTTGTTGTTGCTGTTTCTGTTCCATTCGAGTCAACGTAATGATGATATGTACACTCACCTATCCACGTGCGATCCAAATAAATTGAGACGAAGGACGGGGGTATCGTGAAGTAATCTACGAACGAGTACATCTCTAGCATGAACCATAACTTATCGCTAGCTGCTATAAACTGTAACAAAATAAATCAACAATTAGGATCGAAATGGATCAATACTTATCTTCATGCTTCCGCTCAGTATAACCTAAAATTGTTGGTTCTTAACTTTACAATTGGCTTCAACATGTGTTTTGCCATCATTTTTTAACAAACATTACAAGTTATAATAAAGAGATGAAAAAGTATACTTATCTATTATACAGTATAAATGCAACATTTTCAATAAAAAATATAAGTTAAAATAAAAGAAATGCAGGATTTTTGAAAGCTGTCATCTCAAATAAAAGGTGACAGCTGTCATTTCTCTGCTCTACAGTGTTTTGATTGATTGTAGAAGTGTTATGATATGCAAAATAAGCTGTCATGCCAAGTGAAAGGTGACAGCTGTCATTTCTTTGCTCTATAGTATTTTGATTCTTTGTACAAGTGTTATGATATGTAAAATAAGCTGTCATCTCAAGTGAAAGATGACAGCTGTCATTTCTCTGCTCTACAGTATTTTGATTCGTTGCACAAGTGTTATGATATGTAAAATAAGCTGTCATCTAGAGTCAAAGGTGACAGCTGTCATTTCTCTGCTCTATAGTATTTTGATTCTTTGTACAAGTGTTATGATATGTAAAATAAGCTGTCATCTCAAGTGAAAGGTGACAGCTGTCATTTCTGTTATAGTATTTTGATTCTTTGCACAAGTGTTATGATATGTAAAATAAGCTGTCATTTAGAGTAAAAGGTGACAGCTGTCATTTCTCTGCTCTATAGTATTTTGATTCTTTGTACAAGTGTTGATATGTAAAATAAGCTGTCATCTCAAGTGAAAGATGACAGCTGTCATTTCACTGATCTACAGTATTTTGATTCTTTGTACAAAT